GTCCTGCCAGGCAAAACCTGGGGTGGCTCCGGGGGACAGGGGACACTTCAGTGTTCCCAAGGACAGACATGTCCAAAGCATTCATGGAGCTTTGGAAAGTGCTCCTGTGGAGCTCTGGCTTTGGGGACACATCCCCTGCTCTGGGGGGGGACAGTGCAGGGTTGGGGACCTGCTCCTGGCTGGARTATCCCATCCTGAGGATGAGGAGGAGCTGGAGCTGGCGTTCCCAGGGTGTGATTGTGGCCAGGGCCAGGCCCTGGGAGTGTCCCCAGCTCCCTGCCAACCCACAACAGGGTGTCCCCAGCCCTGAGGGTGTCCCCATCCCTGGTGGTGTCCCCATCCCTGGTGGTGTCCCCATCCCTGGAGATGTCCCCATCCCTGGAGATGTCCCCAGCCCCCTGCTCTGGTGGTGTCCCCAGCCCTGGTGGTGTCCCCAGCCCTGGTGGTGTCCCCTGCCCTAGTGGTGTCCCCATCCCTGGAGATGTCCCCATCCCTGGAGATGTCCCCTGCCCTAGTGGTGTCCCCTGCCCTAATGGTGTCCCCAGCCCTGGTGGTGTCCCCAGCCCCGGAGATGTCCCCATCCCTGGAGATGTCCCCAGCCCTTGGAGATGTCCCCATCCCTGGAGATGTCCCCAGCCCTTGGAGATGTCCCCATCCCTGGAGATGTCCCCAGCCCCCAGCCCTGCTGACCACGCTCTCCTCCCCTCTGCAGAACAGCCTGGGGCTCATCTACACCATCTACGTGGACGGGCTGAGCGTGTCCCTGGAGAACGTCATCGGGAACCTGCTGACCTGCACCATCCCCATCACTGGTGGGGCACAGGTGGGTGCTGCTGGCCCTGCCCTGTCCCCACGCTGTCCCCAGAGCCCGGTGCTGCTTGCTGTCCCCACTGTCCCCTATCCATGTCCCTGCTGTCACATCAGTGTCCCTGCTGTCCTGTCAGTGTCCCCGCTGTGCCAGGAGGGAGCAGTGGGAAGGGCCTGGCTCAGTTCTGCCCCCCTAAGCACTCCAATCCCACTGAGATCCCAAATGCAGCTCCT